AGCAGGCCAGCATCGATGGTCCACTCCACACAGTTCTCATTCTCGTTCACGGGTGTGGCCTTTTTATCCTGAGGTAGAACAGAGGAGGGACACAAAGTCAGACACAGCACCATGGACATCTGGAGGGTTGGGGTCCAGAATGCAGACCAAACCCCCAAGCCCTCAGTGACTTGTCGAAAGAATGAGACCTGGTGCCCACAGTAGGAAAAAGAATCTTGGCATTCACATGAGAATTTGAGGTGGGGAATGACTGAACATGTTAGGATCTGAGGTCAGATTGTTAGATGAGTATGGACAGCACCTCCCTGCATTAACAGCATTTTCCCTGTGATTTCTAACACCACAGTCCATTCTAGGGATCAGAAGACAGGGACATTTCCTGGCAGAGGTTACATCAGGGTAATAGGACATGTAGGATGTTCAGTGCAGCACTGCGACATGGTAACAGAAGGGAATCATGTCACAGTCCCACATTTGTGAAGGGCTGAATGGGTGAGGTAAGTGGTCTCATTTCCAGAATGATCTGGAGGGGCCCCAGGGGCGTGTTCCTTGGCAACCAAAGTGCAGAGCAATAGACATAATACAATGAGCCCCATGTCCTTTGGGTAAAAATCTCCCTGTTCATCATGAACATATGTGAGACATGAAGAAGGTGTGCAAGAGTGGTCAGGTGAAACGGGACACCTGGGAACAGTCGTTGAGGAAACATATACAACAATGCCAATATATTCTAGACAGAATGGGACGTGAAATGGTTTCACATCTCTTTTCTGATATTCTTACAAATAAGTGGAGAGTAACATTGCATCTGGCCATGGCAGGGGCTGGGTCACGAGGGCATGTTTGGGGATCAGATGGGGCTCCAGATTCATCTGGGATCAGGAGTCTATGAGAGATACCAGGGGAGTATCAGTGTGTTTTCCATGCCCTGGGATTATTTTCAATGCCTCTGGGCCCTGGGTGTTGGGTTTCCCTGGTACCTTCACTCACCCTGAGCCAGTGCAGCATCCTGCTGATGGCATGGGGCTTCCTCCTGTCCTTCAGGGAAGTAGAGCAGGGGTTCTCATCATTCAGCTCCTGCCCCATCTCTTCAGTGCATCTCTATAAAGACAGTGCCCAGCAGGCAGGCAGGGGCCTCAAAGCCCTGTCTGCTTGCTTTCACTTGTCCTCAGACCCATGTGACTTCATTCTAAATATATGACACCACAGTGTGCACACACCCCCACCCCCAAGGAGGAGAAGCAACATGGTTTGAGGGCCTTGGACTAACCCTGTTATAGGTTAGAGGCACCTCAGAGATCCCTTTTCCCTCCTTCCCAGCATGACATCTGCATGGCCATGATGGGTCCACCAGGTCGTCCACTGCCATCCAACCTCCTCCAGTCCAGGACAGGAGCATCTCACGTGTCCCCCTTTCCCTGAAACTGAACACGAGGGGATGGGGGTGCCCAGGGATGGCTCAGAGCTGTGACCTGACCTGACCTGACCTGGCCTGCTCTAGGCTGCTCTGTATTACCTTATGTGACCTCCTGGAAAACATCCTGAGGCATCACCAACATGGGTGAAAGAAACCTTTCCAACATCCGAATAATCCTGTACACTGGGGTTTCTGGTATCCAGAGCCCTGGTAACTGGGAAAACAACAAGAGAACATTCCAAACTCTCTGTGTCTGTAGACAAGTGAGCCTGGTATGGGACCTTACTAGAACATGAGTGCCAGGTTACAGGAGTTCCAAGGTCTCCTGAGGCCTATTGTGAGCAAAGTGATGTCACTGCCTAGGATCCACCTCCTGAGTCTGCTCCTGGGATAACACCTATGCAAATAGTCCTCTATTTGCTGACTGCTCACCCCCATTCTCCATGAAATGTCACATCGGTCCACAGTTACACCAATGCACTCCTCTCCACAGCCCCCTGGGAAGGTCTGGGGCAACCAGGGTCCCAGCCGTAAGACATATCTGGGTTGAGACATAACTCTTCATTTTACCTCTCTCTGGTCCCAGATTCGTGATTGTGCTTCTCAAGGATGGTCCATGTCTTTTCTGCCCAGTGGAGATAATTCTAGCATGTACTTCCTCAGGATGTCCTCAGGCATATGTAGGATGATACCTGTGAAATTGGAGGAATGGTGTCACCTGATGGAAATTTATCCAACCACATTTACTTCAACTTCTCACCTCCTTTGGTTCTGCTGCTCCTCCTCTGATCCTAAGTGGGCATACTTGTGCGCGTACGTGTGTGCATTCAAGTGTGTGTGTGTATGTGTGTTTACCAGTGCTCATTTTCTGAAGTCCCAGGAGATAACATCCCCACCTAGGGAAGGATGGCCAAAAATTTCTTAAGAGCTTAGGTTCTCTAATTTCTAAAGCAATCGCTACAGAAAGGATTGGAGTTGTGGCCTAGTAGGTCAGAACTCTCTTTTATGTAGACTTTGTCAGTAGTGTGCCATGAGCCATTCCCTCCCTTTCCACTGGGTACAATGGGAACAGGGTGGCACTCAGTGGGCTGCCCTAGCCTTGGGTCCTCCTCAGGGAAGAACATGCTGGAATGTCTTCTGCTATGCTCCTCTTCAGCCTCACCCCCACGCCACTTCCATGTCTGCACAGAGATATAACAACACAACCTTTTCCCAAGCCCCCTCAGAAAACCTGGGTCAAGTCAAGGACCCCATTTTGAGGATATGGAGTTGGGTTCATGCCTGGTTCTGACTTTTTACCAGTCTGTGATTCTGGGCAAGGCACTGACCCTGGCAGGGTCTTCACTTTCTCCTCCCCTCAGTGGCTCCCTGGGATCCCCACATCCTGTAAACACATCCTTGTGTAATCTCTTTCCTGGAGTGTGATATGGACTTAGTGTTTGATTTCTGTTCCAAAGAAGATGGCAATGTGTCCCCAAGCCAACCAAGTTTTGTTGATAAAATGTCCATGGCACAGCCACATGCTCACTGTCATTCTCTGTGTTGTCTCTCAGATCCTCACACTGGGGAACCACCCCCATGTTGAGTAATGACACAGACAGGTACACACAGCCCAGCCCTGAGAGACAACAGGGAAGAACTAAGGCATTTGATGCGGACTGAATGCTGCCACCACCCTGAAGTAAGTTCAGGGGTTGAGTGAAGCAGGTTCTGTTTCAGTGATGACAACATTCCCAACCTTCTGAGAGGCTCTGTCAGGGCCCTCAGCTGAGCACTGCTGAATTCCTGGTCTCCTGGGCCTGTGAGATGTTAAGTTTATGGGGAAGCCACTAAGGGTGAGGGAATACTGTCACACAGCACTAGAGCAGAGTAGTGAAAATGTCATCCTGCCCCAGGCCCTGTCCCTCCTCACCCTCCCTCTCTGCTCTCTCCCCAGCTCTTTCCAGGCTCCCTGGTCTCCTTTCAAATGTCCACTATGACAACACCAACCTCTGCCTCCGAATGTCTGCACCACTGTGCCTTCTGCCAGGCTACATATACTCGGATTTGTGCAGGGCTGACTCGTTCTTGCACTGCTGCAGGAAATATTAATGTTTCCTCAGCACAGCCTTGTCAGAACCTAACCTGGTGGAGCTCAGGACCCAGTTGTAGCACCTCGATTTTTTCTATGGAGTCATTGCTCATGTCATTCCCATTTTTGTTTCATGGTCTTTCCACATTCCTGTCTAGACCTTGAGCATTCCCTCTAGGAAGAGGGAAGACCTGGCTGCCTTACCAGCACTGGCACTATCTGAATGCTCAGATGTTCATTCCCAGTGGCTGAATGAAGAGGTAAGGGGATCCATCCCACCATTTAGCAGCTCAGTCATTATAGCCTAATTTACTTGGGTCATTTATCAATACTTATTTATTTTGTATTTTTTAAGTCAACTATACTCCTAACTTGGGGCATGAAATCACACTCCAAGATCAAGAATCTCATGCCCTACTGACTGAAACAGCCAATGTTAATGGAACTAGACTGAATTCTAAGTTATCTGCAGGGAAACATTTTGTAGGTATATTAGGTTATGCTGAATTACCAGAGAACACCCCAAATTTCAAAAGCATGTCCCATAGATTTCCTCACATGACAGTGTTGGGTGCGTGTTTAGATTGGAGACTAAAAATCTTCATGTGGACATTCAGGAACCCAGCGTTCCTCCATTTTGTCCCTTCTCCCTCCCAAAAATATCAGGTACTTCCATAACCAACAGCACAGGGGTGATAAAGGGGAAAGAGAACAAGGAATTGCACATGGGAGCATGCTATCAGCCATGTCTAGAGTGCCTAAAATATCTGCCTTTATACTCATTCCTTGTTTTAAAGGCAAGGGTTTTTAAGTAATCTGTGAGAAACGATGTCCCACAAAACATAGAAAATGCATCCCTAGATATGCACCACAAAATATACAAAAGGTAATTCCTGAGCTGAAGGAAAAGTTTCTCCCTCTGGTACACATTGTATGAAGGAAATAAGAAGAGTAAAAATCTATGTGTGTGTTTGCGTGTGATTTATACATATTAATGAATATGAGGTTTTATGAATATATATGAGTATTTTAAGAAGTGAATGATCATTGACTTTTAAAATTTTTTTTTCAACGTTTTTATTTATTTTTGGGACAGAGAGAGACAGAGCATGAACGGGGGAGGGGCAGAGAGAGAGGGAGACACAGAATCGGAAACAGTCTCCAGGCTCTGAGCCATCAGCCCAGAGCCCGACGCGGGGCTCGAACCCACAGACCGTGAGATCGTGACCTGGCTGAAGTCAGACTCCCAACCGACTGCGCCACCCAGGCGCCCCGATCATTGACTTTTAAATAGAAGAATTAGTAAAACAATAAGTTAAAAATCATAATTAGTGAGCTTGAGCTTACACACATATAGTATTAAGATATATGACAGTATCAGGGCGCCTGGTGGCTCAGTGGGTTCAGCGACCGACTTCGTCTTAGATCATGATCTCACGGTTCATGGGTTTGAGCCCCTCATTGGGCTCTGTGCTGACAGCTCAGAGCCTGGAGCCTGTTTCAGATTCTGTGTCTCCCTTTCTCTCTGCCCCTCCCCCACTCACACTGTGTGTCCCTCTGTCTCAAAAATAAATAAACATTCAAAAACATTTAAAAAATTACATCAAGATACATGACAGTATGAATTAAACGACTGGTGGTTGAGAAATCAATTAAGTGCCTCTTAAGATTGATTGTTTTCAAGTACGAAAACTCTTATAAACCACATGACTGTAAATATAGTGTAAATATTGAAACTCCAGCCCAGTTAGCCAGTTAAATTGAAAGAATTACATATATCTAAGTACATTTATGCTTAACCACCCCACTCTTTATTTCTGCTGAGGTCATGATCTCTCGGTAGTGAGAATGCTGAGAGACAGAGGAAGTTCAAAGTAGCCCCCTTGTGTCTTGGTGTTGGTGACATGGAAGGGGCTATTGTGGGACCCCATGTTTTCTTAGGTGTCCCCAGTCCAAGAATATTACAACCCTCCCTCATTCCCCTGCACAAACTGGGCTAGGCGATGAAGTTCTGGCTGCCGCAACTTCCTGTGAGATTTGGCTCAAGATCTCTACAGATTTGACCTAAGATCTCATGAGATTTGCCCCTAGATCTCATGACATCTATCAACAGGACAGAGTTGGCTGTTTGCTCTGAGATTAGAAGAAACACAGACTGCCCTGAAGGTTCCACAGCCCGGGAGAATCAATGAGGGCTTATTGTGTGTTCAGAGGAGCCAGGTCCTGTGCACTTTCCTTTCCCCCACATCTCCTCACCTCCCGTTTCAATCCCCTCTAGCTTCACAGAAATAAAGGGCCACCAGGCCAAATCTTCCATATTTTAGTGGTGGTTGTTACCCCCGCTGCTCTTAGAATGCTGGATAAGTTGGAAAGTATGAGCCAGGGACCTCATATCCTTATGGTGGTGGCCTTGGGTTGTTTGTGGGACCCTGGGTGTTGGTAGCAGTCCACAAACCAGGAGCGTCCTAACCTGCCTATTTACACTGCACAAAGGTGACTACACTAAGGAGTTCTCCTGCCTGCCCCCTTCTGGCTATATTTGGCCTGACATCTCCTGAGATTTGGCCTGGAGATCTCGTAAGATTTGTCAACAGAGCAGAGGTGGCTGCATCTTTTCGAGTCAAGACAGACAGACTGCATTAAGTGTCCATGGTCTAGGACAGCGCTCAGGGATAATTTTTCTGTGTTCACAGGAGTCAATTTCTGTGCACTGTGCTTCACCCAACTCCTCCTTCTCTCCTGTGTCTTGCGCCTCTAGTTTGCTGGGAATAACGGGCCAGTCTGGTCCAGCAGCCCCTGTTTCTGTGGCCAGGTGTTTCACCCACCACATCTAGGATGCTGAGACAGACTGGATATGAACACGACCCCTCGTGTCTTGGTGCTGGTGACATGACAGGGTCTATTGTGGGACCACAGGTTTTCCAAGGTGTCCCCAACCCAGGCATATCACAACTCTACTATTTTATCCTGCACAAAAGAGGTTATGCTACCTAGTTCCCACTCCTGCCAAGTTCCAGGAGGTTGGAAGAGATCTTGCCAAATTTGGCCATAGATCTCATGAGATCTGCCCCTAGATCACAGGAGACTTGTCAACAGGGACAAGGTGGCTGTGTTCTCTGGTGGCAGGAGAGACACAGAATACCCTGAAGTTTCTGCACCCTGGGAGGTGCAATGGCAGGCTGCCTGTGTGTTCAGAAGAGGTGGCTCCTATGTACTTTCTTTCTCTCTGTACCTCCTGACCTCCTGTTTGTATCACCTCTAGTTTAACATGAACAATATGAAGTCCAGCTGTTACAGCAAATACTCAGTACCCAGAAAGGGACAAGCCACAGAACTCGGGGAATCAGAAAAAACTGTTTATTGTAAACGCATGATGCCCCAGTGGAGTCACCTCCAAAGGCTGATCGCTGTACCTTGGCATTCGCCTCCTTATCTAGCTGTGATGCTAGGCAGTTGAGAGACAATAGGAAAATAGAGGGGTCCTTATCAGTGGTGCTACATGGATAGTTGGTGGAGGCAGGAGGCAAACAAGATTACAGAAGCCAAAAGAATTCATGGGGAGCATGTGGCCTCAGGCATCTGGCTGGCCCCTTTTATCTTGTTGTTGTTGTTTTTTTCCCTTTTATGTTGTTGTTGTTGTTTTTCCTAGCTTTTCTTCTCACAGCCATTCTTTCCTAGGTCAGTGGTCCTTGTTACCTACACTGCTCTTAGAATGCTGGGAGGGATGGGGAGTACTAGTAGAGACACTTTATGGTATTTTAATGTTGGAGTCTGAAGACATTTGTGGGACCCCAGGTATTCCTAGGTGTCCCCAATCCATGAATGTCCCTGTCCTGCCCAAACCAGACTGGGTTAGTGAGTTCCCACTCCTGCTGAGTTCATGTGAGATTTGTCCTGAGATCTCCTGAGAGGTGCAGTATGATTTCGCATGATTTGGCCTTGTATCTCCAGAGAATTGTCTGTAGATCACAGGATACTTGTGAACAGGGGACTGTGGCTTCGTTTTACGGACTCAGGATAGACACAGACTATGCTCAAATGTCTCAAGTGTCAGAAGCCACTTTCTGTGCACGTTGTTTCTCCCTTCCCCTCCTGCCCTCAGGTTTCTCTGTCCTGTAGTTCAGTTGACAAAGGGGCTTCCAGTCCCTCCCATTTGTTCTTATTTCATTGGTCCGTATTTAGCTCTAGTGTACCTAAAGGCTGGGAGCGGCAGAAAGTATGAGCGAGGCCCTTCGTGTGAATTGCTTATGGTGTCTGTTGGCTTTTGTACAACCCTGGATGTCGCAGCAGTCCCCATCCAAAAATGTCCCAGCCCTGGCGGTGTGCCTTGCAGATACCAGGCAAGACCAGGGAGTTCCTCCTGCTGTCAATTTCCTGTGAGATGTGACTCAAGATCTGGTGAGCTTTGGACACACGTGTTTTGAGATATGACCTTAGATCTCAGGAGATTTTCCCCTTTATCAAGCGCTATTAGTCAACAGGGAAGAGTGGCTGTGAATTCAGGGGCAGGATGACACAGACTGCACTGAAATGCCCAAAGCCTGGGAAAGTTCTCAGGGACTTGGTTCATTTTTCAATCATCTATATCCGTCAATGACCACCCTAGGAGCCTCCTATTTCTATTGTAACAGATTACCACAAACTTAGTTTTTTCAAACTACACCAACTTATTCTTATGGTCTGAACATGAAAAGTCCACAATGAGTCTCACTGCACTAAATTCAACATGGCAGCAGGGCTGTGTTTCTTTCTGGAGGCTCCATGGAAGAATCTGTTTGTTGTCCCTTCCAGCTTCTAGAAGATGCCCACATTGTCAGCTCAGAGCCCGTTCCATCTCCAAAGCCGGCCACGTCTGATCAGTTACTCTCATATCACATTATCTTGACACTGACTCTCCCTCTTTCACTTACATGGACCCTTGTGATTACATTGGCCCTTCCAGGCTAATCTCAGATCAAGTTCCTTAATCTAATCACATCTACAAAGTCTCTATTGCCGTGTAAAGTAGCATATTCCCAAATTCATGGGGTGAGCATGTGGACATTTGTGGGAAGCTCTACTCTACCATAGCCACCCCCATCAGTGAACACATTTCTAAAGCATGCCAATCAATGCAATCTCCTCATTCCTGTAAATCAGCACGTTACCACACCTCAATCTACTGCTTTTGAGTGCCAACATATCAGCAGCTGACACCAACTCATTTATGTCCCTGACATTCACTCTTTCCAGAACTCCACACTTCCCAAAAATTCTACCTAAGATCAGCAGTGTGGCCGGTTCAGAGAGACTGTGAGTGACTGACAGGTCTTGCCCTTCCTGAAGGAAACAATACATTCAGCTCTGTGCTTGCTGCTACAGAAATTATGAGGAGAGCTTGTCATTTTTCAAAATATTTCAGTATTACATGTATACACTTACAGACCATAACTGAATGAAAGGGAAAAGAGAGAGAAAGACTGTGCACGTGCCAGTGTTGAGGCATTTGAATTGGGGAGAGAGAAGGAGAAAATCTGTGGTGAGAGGAATCTGAGGATCCAGTGCTTTGAAGGTTCTCAGGGAACAGAGCTGTGTGCTGCAAGCAGTTTTGATAGGGGCACAGGGCTGGAGGAGTGTGTATGGACTGACTGTGTCCTGTTAAAAATTCATACGTTGAACTCTAGTGCCCAGTGTGACTATATTTGCAGAAAGGCCTTTACAGAAGATATAAGGTTAAATGAAGTTAGGGGCATGGGGCCCTTGATCTAATAGGTTTCATGTCCCTGAAACAGTGAGCTTGAGCTCCCCGCCTCCCGCCCGAGCACAAGCACCCAGAAAAGGACACGTGAAACCCCAGGGCGAAGAGGGCCCTCTGTGAGAACAGGAATAGAGCTCTCACTCAAACAGTTAAAGATAGAACTATCCTACAACCCAACAATTACACTACTGGGTATTTACTCAAAAGATACAAAAGTACTGATTTGAAGGGATGCATGCACCCCAAAGTTTATAGCACCACTATCAATAATAGCCAAATTATGGAAAGAGCCCAAATATCCATGGACTGATGAATGGATAAAAAAGATGTATTGGGCACCTGGGTGGCTCAGTCAGTTGAGTGTCCGACTTAGGCTCAGGTCATGATCTCATAGCTCATGAGTTCGAGCTCTGCCTCGGGCTCTGTGCTGACAGCTCAGAGCCTGGAGCCTGCTTCTGCTTCTGTGTCTCCCTCTCTCTCTGCCCCTAACCCACTCGCATTGTGTCTTTCTCTCACAAATAAAGAAACATTAAAAAAAAAAAGAAGAATATGTGGTGTATGTATATAATGGAATATTACTCAGCCATGAAAAAGAATGAAATCTTGCCCTTTGCAATGATATAGATGGAACTAGAGTGTATTATGCTAAGGGCAGTGAGTCAGAGAAAGACAAATACCATATGATTTCACTCATATGTGGAGTTTAAGAAACAAAACAGAGGAACATAGGGAAAGGGAAGAAACATAAGGTAAAAACAGGGAGGGAGGCAAAACATAAGAGACTCTTAACTACAGAGAACAAACTGAGTACTTCTGGAGAAGAGGTGGATGGGGAGATAGGCTAAATTGGTGATGGGCATTAAGGAGGACACTTGTTGGGATGTGCACTGTTATATAACACTGGGATGGGGTGTTATATATAAGTAATGAATTATTAAATTCTACTCTTGAAACCAATATTACTGTATAGGTTAACTAACTAGACTTTAAATAAAATCTTGGGGGGCGCCTGGGTGGCTCAGTCGGTTGAGCTACCGACATCAGCTCAGGTCATGATCTCACGGTTTGTGAGTTCGAGCCCCGCATCAGGCTCTGTGCTGACGGCTCGGAGCCTGCTTCTGATTCTGTGTCTCCCTCTCTCTCTGCCCCTCCCCTACTCATGCTCTGTCTCTCTCTGTCTCAGAAAAAAAAAAAATAAATAAATAAATAAATAAATAAATAAATAAAATCTGAGGGGGCTCTGGAAAAGGTTGTGTTAACATAACTGTGTGCAGACATGGAGGTGGCGTGGGGGTGAGGAGTGTAACAGGAGACATTCCAGCATGTTCTTCTCTGAGGAGGACCCCAGGCCAGGGCAACCCACTGAGTGCCACCCTGTCCCCATTGTACCCAGTGGGAAGGGAGGGAATGGCTCCTGGCACACAACTGGCAAATCTGAGGTAAAAGTGAGTTGTGACCTTCTAGGCCACAGCTCCAATCCCTTCTTTAGGGTTTGCTTTGGAATTTAGAGAGCCTATACTCTTGGGAAGGTTTTGGCCATCCCTTTCTAGGGGGGTTGTTGTCTTTTGGGCGTCCAGAAAGTGAGCTCCAGTCAACACACCCATACACACACACACGCAAACACACACACGCACTCACAAACACACACCAGTAAGGACTGTAGGGTGATACCTGACGAACAGCAGAATCAGAGGAGGTAAAGAGATGAAGTAAATGCGGTTGGATGAATTTCCTACACCACTCCTCCAATTTCATAGGTATCATCTCACATATATCTGAGGACATCCTGAGGAAGTACATGCTAGAATAATCTCCATTGTGCAGGAAAGACACAGACCACCGTTGAGACACACAATCGCTTATCTGGGGTCAGAAACGGAAGAATGAGGAGTTGTGTCTGAACCCAGACATGTCTCAAAGCCAGGAACATGGTTGCACCCAGACCTTCGCAGGGGGCTGTGGAGAGGGGTACATTGATATAACTGTGTACACATGTGCACTTCATGGAGGATGGGGATGAGCAGTCAGCAAACCAGAGCACTATTTCATAGGTGTTATCGCAGGAGGGGACTCAGAGGATCCTAGGCAGTGAAGTCACTTCCTTGATCAGAGACCATAACAGAACATGGAACCCCTGTAACCAGGCAACCATGTTCTAGTAAGGTTCAATACCAGGCTCATCTAGTCACAGACAGTGACAGTTAGAGATGTTCTCTTGTTGTTACTCGACTTACTGGGGCTCTGGTTTCCAGAAACCCCAGTGTGCAGGATTATTTGGACATTGAAAGTTTCCTTAACCCACACTCACGATGCCTCAGGCTCTTTTTCAGGAGGTCCTGTAAGGTACATAGAGCAGCCTAGAGCAGACCAGTTCAAGTCAGGCCACTGCTCTAAGCCATCCTGGGCAGCCCCAACCCCTCCTGTTCATTTGCAGGGAAAGCAGGACATGTGGGGAGGTCCTGTTCTGGACTGGAAGAGGTTGGATGGCAGTGGACAACCTGGTGGTTCCATCATGGCCACCATGATGGGAAGGAGGGAAAAGGGATCCCTGCGGTGTCTCTAACCTGTTCCAGAGTTAATCAAAGGCCCTGAAGATGTGTTGCTTTTTCCTCTTTGGTGGAGGTCTGTGCACACTGTGGTGTTGTATGTCTGGAATGGAGTCACAAGTGTCTGAGGACAAGTAAAGGCAGTCAGACAGGGCTCTAAGGCTTCCTGCCTGGCTGCTGGGCATTGTCTTTATAGAGACACACTGCAGAGATGGGGCAGGAGCTGAATGATGAGAGACCCTGCTCTACTTCTCTGAAGGACAGGAGGAAGCCCTGTGCTGCCAACAGGATGAAGTTCTGGCTCAGGGTGAGTGCAGGGACCGGGGAGATCCAACACCCAGGGCCCAGAGGCAATGAAAGGATCCCAGGGCACAGAAGACACACTGCTACTCCCCTGGACTCCCTCATAGACTCCTGTCCCCAGATGAACCTGGAACCCGATCTCCTCCCCAAACATGTTCTCATGGCCCAGCCCTTGCCATGGCCAGATAAAAAGTCACTCTCCACATGTCTGTAGGAATACCAGAAAAGAGACCTGAAACCATTTCATGTCCCATTCTGTCTAGAGCATGTGTGCACTATTGTACATATTTTCCCACCTCCTCTTTCCAAGTGTTCCTGTTGGCCTGGCCATCCTTCCACACCTTCTCCACATCTGGCACATGATCATGATGAACAGGGATATTTTCCCAAAGGGACTTGCAGTTCATGATATTATGTTGTTGCCCTTCAGTTTGGTTGCCAAGGAAAACATCCCTGGAGCCCCTCCAGATCAGGAACAAGGGCCTTACTGCCTAGACAACATTCCAGAAGGGACACTGGTTACCACACCCATTCAGCCCTTCACAGTTGTGGTGATTTCACATGATTCTTTTCTTTTGCCATGTCACAGTGCTGCACTGAAAATCCTACATGCCCTATTATCCTGATTCCAACCCCATCCCAGGAAATGCCTGTTTTCTGATCTCTAGAATGGAGTGTGTTGTTGGTAATCACAGGGACGATGCTGTTAATGCAGGGAGGTGCTGTCCATACTCCTCTAACAATCTGACCTCAGATCCTAACGTGTTCAGTAATTCCCCACCTCAAATTCTCATGTGAATGCCAAGATCCTTTTTCCTACTGTGGGCACCCAGGTCTCACTCTTGCCACAAGTCACTCAGGGCTGGAGGTTTTGGTCTGCCTTCTGGACCCCAACCCTCCTGATGTCCATGGTGCTGTGTCTGACTTTGTGCTCCTCCTCTGTTCTACCTCAGGGTAAAATGGCCGCACCCGTGAATGAGAATGAGAACTGTGTGGAGTAGACCATCGAAGGAGGCTGGATGCTATTGGAACAGCGAGTGGAGCACCTGGTGCCTGCCTTCCTGGGGAGAGACCACACCTACCTCTGCACATTCTTGGGCATGTACAGAGCTTTTGCTACCACCCAACAGGTCCTGGAACTATTGTTTATGAGGTGAGCACCCTGCCCTCCGCAGCCCAGTTTGATTCAGCCCCTTAAGGCTTTGACTCTAGGGAAATTCACCAAACCTTCCTGAGTCTCAGTTTGTTTCTCTGATCAGGGTAGAATAATTACAGGGACACAGTGGGGCCCTGCACGGAAAGCGACCCTGGCCCTGTAGAAAGGTCTGCTGGCAGGGCTGTGTCTTCCCTGGGATATCATTGTCCTCTACCCCATGATGAGGTTTTTGCCTCATCACTCAATGTCACCAGGTATTGAGTTGGGCTGTTATCCCATTTGAAAATGAGATGTGAGGCTCCATGTGGGGGTATGAATCCTGGGGCAAACCAGAGCAAAATACTGGGGAATAAGCATGAGGCCCAGGCCCACTCCAATATGTGTGATGGGGTGGAATGGGGCCCTAAAAATCATCAAACATACAGGAAGCCCCACTACATGCAGGCACTTCTGTAGGAGCTGAATGGAATCCAATGCACAGAGCAGACAGCACCCTCCCCTCCAGAGCTCCATTCTAGTCAGCAGTCAGTGACCCTGGATATGACAAGAGGTAGTATCCACAGGACAGCTTATATGATGCCCTTCTGGCCTCCTCCAGATATGGCTGCTTCCTTCCTGACACTGAGGAGGATGGCGGACCCTGGAAGCAGGAGAAAATGTGAGTAGGCTGAGGTCATGCTAGAAGGCCTTCCTTCTCCAAGAGGGCAGTGCCAGGACTGGGGGGGGGGGCTGCAGGACCCAGCATCCCACACATCTGAGAGTCCTGTGAGAGGGCAAAGGTCTGAGGGCTTCTGTTTGGAAGCAAGGAAAGGGGTCCTGTCCTGTAGGTTAGAGGATAGGCTGTGGGCACAGTGAAATAGAAAAGGGCACCAGAGGACAGAGTCAGCCCCTTAGAGAGTCCAACCCTATCCCTTCCCACTCCCAGCCCTGCCTCCACCCCCACCAGGGGACCCAGATTAAAGGTTTTGGGGAGCAGTACGCTCACCACCTTGTGGAACTTCAACAGTGGGTGCTTAGCAAGTGTTCAGGGGACCCATTGAGAGTTCAAGGACCAGATATCTCCCACCCTGTGGGAGACCAGTGTCAGTGGGAAGACACCCACATGTGCACTGAGTGAATGAGGCAGCATATAGGCACAGGTTGTCACATTTAAGGTATGAGGAGGGTCCCAGCAAGCCCAGGTAAGAGACAGAGTCCCTTTGTCCCATATTTCTTCAGATTTTCATGGAGCACTAGGTGTGCAGTGAAGGCACTGACTCATCCTGACACCACCCCGCCACTCACGCACGGAGTTCAGTTCAAGTGGGAGGTAGGCAGGTGGACACACCAAGGAATATGTCTGGCTTCCCCAAGAAGGACAGACTTGGCCACATCATTGGTTAACGGGTCCCAGTCAAAAAGACTTTGGCCAGCCCCTCTTCAGTGACTAAACTATCTCAAGCAGGACTCCGAAGTCACAGGTGGACAAGGTGTAGGAACACCCTCTGGACAGCCAGGAGCAGGAGGCATAGAGGCCAGGTCCAACAGGGATGTCCTGAGACATCAGTGCGGGAGGAGCACCTCGTCCTAATTCTTCTGGCTACTTTTGTATCGCCAGGGCCATCTCCTCCATTTTGGGCACCTGGATGGACTACTACCCTGAGGAATTTTTCCAGCCCCCAGAATTCCTCAGCCTGAAAATGCTGCTGGCATACGTGAGGCTCGACATGCAAGGCTCAGAGCTGGAGCGCCGTGCCCACTTTCTCTTCTCATTGTGGAGATACCTTGAGCCCAATGAGCCAGAGTCTGTGGGTGAGGAGGACTCTGTGTGGGAGATGTGGGCATGTGGAGGGGACAGGGTATGCCACACAGTGCATGTTTCCTGAGACTGCGGTTGGGCTAGGAGGAGTGCATAGTCTCATATCACTGTTCCATTAGCCTGCCATCTGGGGAGAATTCTTCCTGGTGGGTTCTTTGACTCAGATGACAATGTCTGCGGGAGAGGTTTCCTTTATTTGGAAGGGCCATGGAATGGCAATCATGGTGATGACAGTTTCTATTCTTGAAGCTATGGCACCAGCTCCAGAGCAAGATCCAGATGTCCCTCAGGAGCTAGCCCCCACTATCTCTGTGGTGCCCACTGCAGCTTCACAGCCCAGGCTGCCTGAAGCCACCACTCTTTCTGGAGCTCAGCAATTAGAAGAAGCGGTGACCCTCCCTGCAGCGTCCCCACTAGTGCAAGTGGTAGTCCCAGCTCTGATTCACTGTCAGGAGCTGGAAGAGCCACCTGCCCCTTTGGTGGACCCACAACCTGAGCAGCCTCCAGCCCCAGCTGGCGGGGTCATGGACGGGCTGGAGCAACCACCTGCTGCAGCTGGGCAACCAGCCTTAGCTCCTGAGCAGCGGCTCATGTTGGCTGCAACCCCAAAGGATGACTGCCCTTCTGCTGTCATTGCGTTCTTTGTAATTTTTGTGGTTTGTATAGAGATATTTAACGGCCTTAGATATTTTCTTTGTAAATAAAACATAACTTCAGATAAAATTTTATTCTGATCTTTTTAAATTATACATTGACGTGACATTACGTACATTCACAGAATTATACAACCTTGACCATTATGTACTCCTAGAACATTTCCATCACAGACACATGTATACTACCCATCAGCCATGGCTCAACCCTCACCCCACTCTCTCTGCAACCACTGACCTCAGTTTCTGCTGCTTTAGCTCCTCTGGGGTTTTCATGTGTGTGCAATCACACAACATGGCTTATTGTGTCTGGCTACATAACATGAGAGTGATTAATAATTGGTTAAATATTCAATGAAACTAATATTTTTATGACACAGGAATATTCCCCAAAGAGCAAAGATTATGTGAAGCCCCCTACTTGAAATATCTTCATTATCTGGGATAAGGATCCCATTTAGAAGTTTGACTGGAGAGCCAAAAGCCACAAGAGAAATGTCTGGAGCAGAGTAATACCTTGAAGAGCTTTTGTTTTCCTGGACAGGCCATTTTTAAATTAGTCTAAGGTGCATATTAAACAAATATCAAATTCAAATATGAAATCTTCTCATTTACTACTGATATAGGTTTTATACAGATGTTGTTTCTTAAATAAAAAATAAAAATTTGAATAATGACAGGCGCCAAGGTGGCACAATTGGTTGAGTGTCTGACTTGATTTTGTCTCAGGTCATGATCTCATCGTTCATGGGATCAAGCCCCAAATCAGGCTCTACACTGACAGCAGGAAGCCCTCCTCAGGATTCTCTCTCTCTCTCTCTTTCTTTCTCAAAATTAAGAATTAGGAAAAAATATTAAATAAATAAATAAATAAATAAATAAATAAATAAATAAATACAAATACAAATGAAGAAAATGATATACCCCTGTCAAGAAATATTTGCCATTAGACATGGTGTCCATCCTCTCAGTTCTTTCTCTTTGAGTGCAGCAATTTGTGTGTGTGTGTGTGTGTGTGTGTGTGTGTGTGTGTGTATGAGTTGTGTGACAGGTTGGGCGGGGAGGGTTCCATCAGTATGCTCTTTAGTACCTGATATCCCCACAATGGACAGGCTCAAGTCCTGTCCCCTTCTGCATCCTCAGTGGCCACACACCATCATTTACTCTGTGTCTCTACAAGTTGAATAATTGGGCCAATTCCAATATTTTGACTCTCATACTTGTACTGAAGGGTACATGTATAACATTAATCTCTATTTCTTTAGAATGGTACAACTAGCACAATTTTGGGGACATAATTTGTACACATTTTTCAGGTGTAGCCTGCGGTTTCCAATATCTACAGACTTTTTTTTTCAGTATATGAAATTTATTGTCAAATTGGTTTCCATACAACACCCAGTGCTCATCCCAAAAGGTGCCCTCCTCAATACTATCTACAGACTCTTTATGAGGGTAAGGCCTTATTTGGGAAGGGAGCGACCCCTGGGACTGAGTGGATACCTGAGGAATTCAGAGGACAAGCCAGCACTGAGGTCATCAGGGTACCTGGGAGTGACCCAGGGGGCAGGGAAGAGCCCACACTCCCCTCATTCTGACCTCCTGAACAGCACCCCTGCCCCAGCCTGGGTGCAGGGCCAGGCCTGGGCCTCATTCAGGCCCCATCCCATGATACACCCCAGACACTTGTGTGCCTCCTGTTCCATAGCTCTGCTTCTCAGTAGAGCAGCCAGTCCCTACTTTCAGGTCAGAGGAGGATGCAGGCTGGGCCTCTGCTGCTTGCTTGGGTAACTAGGAGTGTAATTGCTGGATCATAGGGTCGTTCTATTTTTAACTTTTTCAGGCACCTCCATACAGTTTTCCAGAGTGGTTGTACCAGTTTGCAATCCCACCATCAGTACAAGAGGCTTCCTCTTTCCCTGAATCCTCACCACACCTATTGTGTCTTGTGTTGTTAATGTTAACCATTCTGATAGGGGTGAGGTGGGATCTCATCATGGTTTTGATTGGTATTTCCCTGATGATGAGTAATGTTGAGCATCTTTCATGTGTCTTTTAGCCATCTTGATGTCTTCTTTGCAAAAATGTCTATTCATATCTTATATTTCATTTGTAAAAGATTTATTAATTTATTGTGAGACAGAGAGAGAGACAGAGACAGAGAGAGAGACAGAAACAGAGACAGAGAGAGAGAGTGCGTGCACACACACAATAGGGGAGAGACAGAGAAAGAAGAAGAGAGAATCCTAAGCAAGCTCCATGATGTTGGCACAGAACCCGATGAGGGGCTCGATCCCATAAACCATGAGATCATGCCCTGAGCTGAAATCAAGAGTTGGACACAGAACTGTGCTACCCAGCATGCCTCTTCTACCCATTTCTTAACTGGATTCTTTGTTTTGGGGGCATCGAGTTGTATAACTTCTTTATGTATTCTGGATAATAACCTTGATTGGATATGTCATTTGCAAATATCTTCTCCCATTCCATAGGCTGT